TGCTACTACGACGACTACGACGACTACTACGACTACGACGACGACGATGCCTACTACTACCACCACTACTATTGTAGATGCTGGACACTGACACTGAAAGCCAATGGAGCCCTGAAGTCTAAAAAATGAGACGCTGGAAGACCAAGTTTAGATGCTTATGCAGACAGAGCAGCTTATAACCGCCCACCATCCCACCATTGCAGATTGTGTTTCGACCAAGAACGGCACCGGCACCTTTCCAAAAAGCTCCCAGGCCTGCCAGGAAAGAAGGCACCTAGATTTCATCATGGATGTCCGACTCGCCAGGTTCTGACCATCAAGTCGGGAAAACTGGAAGCATGGTTCAGGCAATAACCTACCCGCACCTTCCACGCGGTAGATGGTCTGAATGGCATCGACCATGCCGGTGTAGCCCCATTCCTTGGACGACACCAAAAAGTTCTGATTCCAAAAGCATCCACTGCACCCTGCACCAGTGGAGCGATCCCCAAGCCTCGCCTCGCACCGGTGGCCCACCCTCCCTCCTTTCTGTGGACTCATTGACCAGCGTCAAGGCACGATTCTGAAATTTCTTGTCCTCCACTTGTTCATACCCCTTTAACTCGGGTAGAGACATACGCGAAGCGTTTACAATAAATAAGCGATCTCCAAACCTCCCTGCTTTGGAGGAAGGCCAGCTCAGCCATTCAGAGCAACACACGGTAGCTGCTTCAGCTCCCAAGTTTCTTTTCTTCATGAAGACTTACCACTGGCTTTGTATGTTTTTGCTCAAGGGAACCACAACTTCTAAGTTCATTCGAGAGGCGACTCCCTAAATTCTCAACACCCAAAACCCGACATCCCCGACAAACCCAAGGCCCGAAAGAACACCTAAATGGCCCAACTTCACCGGAACCACCAAAGATTTTGCACAAACCGCCAGAGGCACAGGTCTCTGCATACGGAACTTTACGAAGTTGATGGGGTTCACCAGTAGGACTTCCGAGGCCCCCGTGGCCATGCCTTGGCAAAGTTACCCAGTGAGCCCAGTTACTTCAGGGTGTGGGATTGTAGGTGCCTGATTTGGGAGTCCAGGGTTGTGAGGTAACTAGCGTCTAGTGAACTCCGTCCGTCTGGAGTCTTGAGGTTAAGCATGTGCGAAATCTACGTCCTGCAGGCAATTCAGCTCAAATCCCAAACACGCACACCGCGTGCACCTGCGCCGTGGCAAGATGCGCAACTACCCACGCAATGCTTTGCTATCCTTGAAACAGGCTGACCTGTGAGCTGTGATTGAGACCTATGAGTGTCTACACTGCACCAGTGCAAGCAGAGCGGCCAATGCCAGTCGCCGTTCGGCCATCGGCCTTCTTCATGTCGCCCTCGGGGGCGAACGAGTTGATGTAGAAGTTCAGGATGGAATAGTGAATCCTCGGCCGGGTGCGGTTCTTTCAAGGCTGGTCACTGTCTTGATTTCAAGAATACAAGCAGAGTTTCGGGTGACATTTGCGCAGTGACATGATATCTCCTAGGGCTTGGGACCCAACTATTCCTAAGGAGCGAGACCTGACAAAGCACGCCACCAGCTACCCACCAGCCTGTCTCGACCAACATGCATTCCGTGTAGCCTGTAGACTCCCACTCTGAGCTACTCGCTCTCCGTGGTGCAGTTTGAACGTTTCACTTCCCAATTTCATTCCAGCTTGGGCTCACCGCTTTCGGAACGGCGCCGGCCAAGGCTGTCGGGAGGGCACGATACAATGCGCCTGTGCCGAAAGGAGCTGGATTCCATGCTGTTCTGGTGACTAGGTTCGTTGATGCATTTAAAGCAGAGATTCTGTAAGGATGAGAAGATGATTCTAATTCTGGTGGGGAACTTGGGTGTTTAAGTCTTGGTGCCGACGACTTCTGTTGTCTGTCTCGTGTTCTTCCGATCCGTCTCCATGATCTATGAGAGGATCTACTTTGTCCAGCCATATGTATGGATGTATGTGTAGATGTATACACACATACACATACACATACACATACACATACACATACATATACATATACATATACATATACATATGCACATGCACATGCACATGCACATGCACATGCACACGCACACATACATACATACATACATACATACGGTTTGGGGTCGGAATACGGCCCCAGCATTTTGCCAGTTTTGAGCGCAGGCATCGTTGACTCCCAAAACAAAGAAACCAAAAAAACAATAGCGATAATGCCAATCATACTAATACTACTAACCATACAGCTGCTGCGACTCGTACTTGCACGTGTGATTTCAATAATACTTATACAATGGTGACCACAATCACAAGTGTTGTTATACGAATAATATTAGTACAGGTAACACACATATACATATTCATATACATACATATATATATATATATTGCATCCGCTCGCTTCCGCACTCCGCTGCTGATGGCAGTACCTGAAACAGGGCTTAGTCAAAACTAATGAAAGTTTCAAGTTCGGGACCGTCACAAATATGCAAGCCAAAGAACCTAACGAAACCGCAGAAGCCAAAGAAACCAAAAAAACCAAAGAAACCAAAACCAAAAAAACCCAAAATCCCAGGGGAGATCCCAAACCAAAGAAACCAACAAAAACCAAAGAAACCAAAACCAAAAACAACAAAATCCCAGGGGATATCCAAAACCAAAGAAGCCAAAAAAACCAAAGAAACCAACAAAACAAAGAAACCAAAAAAAAAAACAAAACCAACAAAACCAAAATCCCAGACGAATTCCAAAACCAAAGAAACCAATTTTTTGGTTTTGTTTTTTT